CAAAACCCCAAAACCCCAAAACCCCAAAACCCCAAAACCCCAAAACCCCGTTGTGATCGATTTGTGTGAATAAAGAATGAATTAAATTTGTTAATAAAACTTTGAAGGGGTTAGTTAATGATAAAAATCTCAATTATTCAAGCAAAGCCGAATCCTTTGGTCTCCTTGATTGCTGTTAGGAGTCTTTCGTGCATAATTTCCTTGCTAGGGTACTCTGGAATGTCAATTTGATTGAAGCTGTAATTATTGTTAATAATTAGAATGTAACTTACCAAGTATGTCCTGAGGGTAATCTAAGCATGTCGTCAGACTTTATCTTAGCAACTGTGAATTTCTAAGGACCTCTCATGCCCATTAATCCCTTGAAGCCATCGAGGGGCACCTTTGAACTGCCAGTCACGAACTGCAAGAACTCAGCTCTCTCTGAATTTTCAAAAGTCTCTAGGATCTCCCAAAGCCATAAGATTTATGACGATTGGGCGTTGTATCCCATGTACTCTGTGTTCTATTTCAAGTCATTCACTATAGTAAAGTTAAATAGTAAATTGTATTACAATCAAAGTTTGGTAGACCTGAGATAAGTAGTTCTAACTCTTTGTGATTGAATATGCTGATGAGATCTTTAGGTATCAGCTCATAGAATCCTTCAAGGAAAGAATCAATCTGTTGCTGAATGCTCTTGTACAGCTTGAAGTATGTCAGTTGCTCTATATACAGATTCTTATTTTCATTGGTAACGGGAATCTTAGCTCCGTCCTTGATCAGTTCAATCTCTTGAGTCCTGCCGAAGTGACTCTGCTCTACAACAAATGTCTAGTAAAGCGTCTCAATGTCGTTGTTAATGCACCATTTCAAGTTGTTGTAAAACTCGTTATCAAAGTCCTCTAGATCTTGGAACATTAGTGGCTCTCCAGTCATAATCTTGTAAAGAGTTTTGACGAAGTAGCACTCAAGCAGACACTCATCAAACAAGGACTTGCCGATGACCCTGCCAATGAACTTGAAATACCTAAGATGATCCTTCTCGATGCCTGACTGTGGATTTGGGTAGTAAGTGGAGCCTGAACTAGATAGCAGGAACAAGGAGTAGTTGGGGTTGAACATTTCTCTTGAGAGCTCAATGAAGAAATCTCTAGTTAGACCACCTGCATCTTAACCTCTCTCGCCAGTGAATTGAATATGAAGACGACCCTTCATCTCACTTGGTTATCTGTTTCCGAGTTAGACATAAGAATCCATGAAGATATTGTCTCTTCTGATAAAGAGTTGAATCTATTCAGCATATTAAGCTTTCTTGAGTTTTTAGAGTTCCCTCTTGAAGTATATTCTCTTATTATCAAAGTCAAGTAAGTTAGGCATCTGTTTGATTAGAGCCTCGACCTCATTAGTGAACATTTGTGACTTACTCTTTATCAGTTTGTTGATTAGTCTCTTGTTGCACAGGCAGAAGTTGCTCAGTTCTTGAATTCTATTAGTGAAGTAGTTTTGGTTTCTGAATAAGATCTGTCTCGACTGTCTGGTTTGTGACTCATCTAGGGTAAGCATCTTCACTTGATATTTGCCCAACTTGTTGCTCTCAGTTGATGGTTATGCCTACTCAAGTTTTTGGTCTTTCTGTTCATTCATTATAGACTCATACATCTCTGGGTTGAAGATCTCGAAGACGCAGAACATCAGATTGCTGACACTTTCTGTCACATCAATGTTGGCCTTGTATATGATTCTGAGTACTTCGTTAACTCTCTGCACAAAGTGAGACATCTTCTCATGCTCGTATATATTCTTGATGTAGATTATCATCTCATTTGCTTCAACAGCAGCAGCGTCCTTTTGCATCTCAATCTCGCCACTCTTTTTTACCTTAGAGTCTTTTTCAAGTGAGAATTTCTAATAGAACAAATTGAAAAGCTTGAATATTCTCAGCAACACCTCAGACACGTCTGATAGCTTCAACTGCTATTTCAGCAACTTCTCGTCCTCATCTTGTAGCTTGATATAAGCATTCTTTAAAGACTGTGTTGTGCCCTTCAGCTCTTGGAGTGGGTTGGGCAGTTAGTGAGTAGTGGTGTCAATCATCATCTCGTTCTTTTCTTCTTCATAGACCGAATCACCTCCCTAGCTAGGTGAGTAATTATCAATCAGACTTAACTGCTTTCCTGGAGAGATTCTATTTTTCATCTCATTGAAGGTATATATCACATTGGTTAGTTTTTAAGTCAAGGTCTCTAGAAGGCTTTAACTTCTTTCTAGACAGTAACTTGAAATCAAGTTGAAGTTTTCACGCTTTTTCTTGGATATTAGGAACAGGAATTCACCTAGATCGTTCATAAGAGTTTGGTCAATGATGTCTAGCGATAATACTTCAGCAATAGACTGCACTGTCTCAGAAGATATAGTCTGGTTCGAGGATTCTAACTCTTCTAAAGCGATATCGAATTACTTTAATATTTGGTGAATGAGCATCGACAGATTTCTAAGCAAGGCCTTATCATTCTTGAACATTTCAGTTCTGATTAGATAGAATATCTCAGCCAGTGGTGGCATTGCTTAGATCACGCTTGTTGACTTCTGCTTGATAAGCTGCTATTAAGTCTGCTGCATAATCTAATCCTCAAGTGAAGATACCTCCAAGGGCATTTGCTAGTCAACAGTAGAAGACTAAGCCAGTCCCTTCTGCTTGAGATACTTTTATTGCTTCTTAAGGATCTGATTGGATCTTAAATGCTGTAGATTGTCCTCCTTCTGAATCAAGCCCTTTAGTATGAACTTCATCAGAGATCTGTTATTCTTTAAGAGAAGTCTTAAGCAACCTATCAATATAAGTGCACTCTTCTTTTTGTTTAGCTGAGTGTTTGGGAAGAGGGCTTTGAGACCTTGGTCATCATTAACTGCCAAGGATTTAAGTAGGAAAGTGATAGCGTTAATTATCTTGTTTCTGATGACTGGGAGTCCGTTGGAGTGAATCTTGATCAGGTTTTGAAGGCAGGGTATCATTGAGCACTCTATCTTGCTATTGCTGACAAGGATCAATAGAAGCTATTCAAGAATCTTCTCATCAGTGGACAGTTGGGTGATCAGAGATTGAGCAACATCATCACTAGAGTAGAGCTCTTCGAATAACTGTTGATGTCTTGTTGTCACTGCCTCTTCAAGGGTCTTACCGCCAACTGAAGGAGGCTGTTTTTATTCTTCTCTGCCTTAGCCTGGGGCTCTGCGACCAAATATAGCTCCAAAGCCTCCATCATCCATGTCATCTTGAAGTCTGTAGTGTGGCTCTTGGCGTCCCATCAAACCTCTTAATCTATCAACATTTTCGAGCACATCAATAAATCTGCCTCTTTCATTTCTGACTTGACTTTGGAACTGCCTAGCTTCAGCCATAAGATTGGGGGGAAGAGTGGCAATCACAGATTCATCCATATTAATAAAGATCTCCCTTCTGAGACTAGGGTCCACCACTGAAGCGATGAATGAAGCCAGGTCCATGCCCTCAGCCTCTCTAGCAGGCGGTTACTACGAAGCCTAGCCACCAAGGTTCCTTTGTCTGAATTGCTCGTTCTAGATCAATTCTAGTTGCATGTCCTCTGGCAAGTTAGCCAGGAATTCAGGGTCCAAACCTAGTTCATTAGCTATATCATTGACTCCGCTTCCTCCGCCAGGTTACTACTGCTACTCAGGCTGCTTTTACTCCTCCAATTGGTTCAAATTTTGTTGCTAGGCTGAGGAATTGTTGTTGCTTTAAGCAGGCTGTTACTGTTGCTGTTATTAAGATCCAGCTGGTTAAATATCAATAGTTGAAAGCAGTTCAGCTCTGAGGTCCTCTGGTAATTCCAAGAGTATCATGGGGTCTATGCCGTTTTCAATTAACAGGTCATTATCATAGCCAAATGTTTTGTTGTCATCATTCCCTGCATTCAGGTTTTCTACATCATTTGCTTATGATTCCTCCTTCTTTTCTTCTTCTTCGACTTGCTACTCCTAGATCTTAGCTTCTTCTTATACTTTAGCTTCTTCTTGTCTCTGTTCTTATTGAGAGGATTTTTACTCTTCACTTTCTATTTACATCTATTCATTGTGCTCATTTTCAGCCAAAGCATTTTGTTCATTATTGATTTATTGAAGAGAAGCAGGTGAATCAGAAATGTTAATGAGATTAATCTGGTCTTAAACTGGCTATAGTTCTACATTAGCATCAAATGCCTAGATAATCTCCAGAGCTTAGTTATTAACCAATTAACTCTATTCCTATTAAACTTCTGATTGCATCAGCACATCTGATTACACTGCAGAGTTCTGATTCAGTTCTTGAATTTAGCGCTCCTGCTCTCCAAGTACATTTTAGATATTCTCTGACTCTCTCCAAAGCGATTACAGAAGCCTGCTAGCTGCATTTTACTCATGAATTTGCAGAGGATTCAGAAGTAAATTGTCATCTAAGCCTGCTCCTTCGCCACTTATAAGGTTATCGAAACCTTCATTTATAAGTCTTGGTGAAGATAAATTCAATAGCCTTGATTATTATAGTAAATCAGCTGAAGAAGATGAAGGAGGCTGGAGAACTTATTCTTAGACTTAAACATCCATTACCTCTAGCAGTTAGTGGCCAAGATCATCATTCTAGTTAGTATTGATTTAGTTCTGATTTCTGATCAAGTGATGGAATAAGGGGAATTCTAGTTACTAATCAAGAGCACCTTGTCTGGCACCGTAGGCATAGGCTCTCTCTAATCTATTGCGAGGAATTTGATGTGGGTGTCCAAGTCTTTAGAATGGATTTTCCCATCCCAGATTAGGTCTAGCAAACATTGGATCAAGCATTGCATTTGCATTGCCTCCAACTATCTGCAAATCAGGTCTATCGTCTATGTCCCTCATTTGGAGTCTTACGGGGTCGACATGAGCAAAATCAATTAATATGTTGTCGAAATCCTCGAGTCTTCTGTGTAGGGCATTTATCTCTCCTCTGACTTACAGAAGGCCTTAACTTTGCAAATCTGATAAGGTCTTTTTCTCCCTAATCATTCTTTCATTTTTGAATTCTGTTTCTAAAACTGCTTTTTGAGTATTTACCAAAGCTAGCAAGTCTGCATCAGAGATAGTCTTTAACTCTTCATAGAGTTATTCGATCATACTTGTGGCTTAGACAGCAGCTCCAGGTCCTGGTGGAACTCCACCTCCTCCAAGGGGATCTGCTCCTGCCCAGGGATTAATCATATTTCCAAGGCCATCGTGAACCAAATTAACAGCTCCCATAATTCTGTTTATATTGGCATCTCTTTCGACAATAGATTGAGCTCCAGCTATAATGCCTGGTGAGCCTCTTAGATTTGTCAATATTCTTTGAACATCTGCCTCTTCATCCGTCCAGTTGGGGTTTCTTCTTACTGGCTCAGCATTTAAGTCTTGGAATCTATAAGCACCGCCAAAGGGTCTAGCACCATGTCTGTTTTGTTAAAGAACTTATACATCAACTGGATTTATAATATCAAGCTATCTCTAGCCAGCAGCTGCTGCAGCACCTCCGGGTTGTCTAACGATTCTTTCAATATGGATGATTTGCTCAGCTTAATCTTCTGCATCTTCCATGTCCTCATCATCTACGAAGATATCAGGCTGGCCTCCGTCTTGATTGGGGAACGCTATGTCTACCTCCTCATCGTCATCATAAATGTCCTCCTCATCCTCGTTATTCTCATCTAACTCTTCATCCTCATTCATAAATTGCTGCCCCTCCTCGTTGTCATCATCTTCTTCATCGTTTGCAATAGCTTCATCATCATCATCATCATCTTCAATGTCATCATCTCCATCAGAGTCATCTTCCCCATAGTCATCTTCATCGTCTTCCATGCCTCCAATAATCATTCTTCTTTAAGGAGGAAATACATTGCCCTCTTAATCAGGCTCGACTTGAGGGTCATAGTTTGGATTGTTATCTCTTTGAATAATTTCATGTTCCCCTCCAGCTCCAAGGATCATTTGCTCCTCCTTAAATTCCTCTTAGAAGGCTATCAGTTCCCTTCTAGCTTCAGACTCTGAAAGATGTTTTGCCTCTTTTTTCTCTTCCTTTTTACGTTTGATATTGATATACTCTGCCAAGCAGTTCAGTATTGAGATGACTTTGCTGACTATGTCTGCATTTGATTCAAGAGTAACATCTACTAAGTCACCAACCAACTCGTCAGCCAATTTAATGAAACTGACTGGGAGGTTTGAATCCTTATTCACGCTTTCTCTCATAATGGCTACTCTAATAGAGTTGTGAAAGTTGTCCTTAGCCAAGACTTGATTCTTGATTAACAAAGGACTTTAGAAGTTTATCAGACTTTCAATGACGATTAAAGAGGAGATTATTTGGCACTTCTGCAAGATTTGATTCTAGTTCTTATCTCTTATTGACTTTTGAAGAATCTACAGTGCTTCAAGCAAGAACTTCGTCCTGATCTCATGTTTTACTATCTGCTCATTAGCAGTCATCAGATGATTATAACTAGTAAGCTAATTCACAGCCTTGAATAGTAGTCGCTCTTAAAGCTTTTCAATTGGCTTTATCTAGAAGTTCACTTCAGCTTGCTCTAGCTAGTTAGCATCTTCTCCCTGATTTCTTTGAATCATGTTAATCATTTGAGATACAAGGAAATCCTTAATAAACCAATTGGCAAAAGATCTCTTGGGCAGGGGTTGTGCTTGCATAATTGGTACAGTAACTGCGGGATAAGTTAAAGACAGTTTAAACAGGAGTTCAATATATCTAGCATCTTCCTCAGGACATGAGAACTGGAGCTTAGCTTTTTCCACGACTAATGGTTCATTCTTAGCCTGAGCCTGATTGAATTGAGTTACTAAATCAAGGAAATTGGTGGTTCTTGTAGATATCTAACTGATAAAAGTTTATATTGCTCCACATTATTGTTCATTGACTATTGATAATAGACTCTTTTAAGCTTGCTTCAGTTGAGTTTTGACTTGCTTGTCATTCTTGAAGTCTATCTGCTTAGTTGCCTACTTCATCAAGGATCTCTCTTTCTGAATGAGTTTCTTGATTTCATTGAACTTGGCCTCCTTGAAGTTAATAGTAGCCTAGTCCTAGCTCACTTAATTCAGTTTTTTAACAGTTTGAACTTCGAAGTTATCCTTAATAACCTGCTTGAAGGTGGCTTGGTCTTTGATTTAAAGAGTCTGGAAGTACTTAAGGAAGTTGTTGAAGCCAGCCATGCCCTTAAGATGGCTGAGCAAAGGCTCCTTATCCTTGCTTTGATGAGCCTATCTCTTACTGTTCTGTTCCTCAAGTTTGTGTTCGTATTCACTCTTTAGCCAAAGCACTCTTGAACTGAGCTTCTCCATTTGATTTTGAAGCAGTTTTTGGTTTTCAAAGTGATTGATTGTGACTCCGTAGATGATATCTGATTTGATAACTTTGGGGTACTTAATCTAGCTTATCTGAAGGAACAGCTGCTGAGCTAAATCAGTTTTGCTGAAATTCGAATGCTCCTTTTGCTAGAGGATCTTAAGGCCGATTGAAGCTGCTGCCATTATGATTGGGTTTCTGTAGATGTAGAGCTTTTTGTCTGTGTTCTCCATTGTTGCAACTTAAGCCTGATAGTCTTGCAAAAGTCTCAAAATACTTTTGAATAATTCATTCAAGGGAACTCTGTACAAGTATGCCTGTGCCTTCTTTTAGAACTATTCTACTTAGGTTTTCTGAGACAGGTATAAAGCAACTTTAAGTTGATTGAGTTGTACGATTGAGAACAATGTAACTAGTGATTCTAGAATAAGTCTTTGGTAGCACATGTTGAATAAGTCATCACAGATGAATTGCTCTGTGGCTGGAGAATTATACACTTTGGTCAAATTCTCAAGGATCTGAAGTACTTTATTGAAGAAGTCTGACTTCAAGACTGCCTCCTTTAGATACTGCTTGTTGCAGTTAATCAGACGGCAGATCAAGTTCATATTGTTCAATGTCATTTCTATGCTACTCTACAGCGAGTCATACAGTTTCTAGTTCTTTTCAGTAGTATCGATATCTTGAATGATTTGATCTTCTCCTTCCTAAGCAACTGGCTCTTTTTTAGTGTTCTGCAATTCTGAGAGCCGAGTGTATAAAGTCTCAAGGCCGAGTTTGAAAAGTCTGTCTATTTCAGCGAACATCCACTTTTGAGTTGCTTCATTCTTCTCATTAATCATAGAGTGTAAGATATATTCTCTGAACTTGCCAAGCAGAGTTTCCTAAGTTCCTTGTGCCTCTATTATCCACTTGAATCCCTCCTGCTATGCTCGCTTTAATATATCCTAGAAAGCTGTATCATTAACCTTTTGTACCTTTTACTATTTGGCAATAAATTTTTCCTTCACTAAGGCATCTGCTTCAAGGAATGAACTAATCTGATCGTCATCAAAGTTGTTACTCTCACCACTTGAGTACTCATTATCAAAGTATTCATGTGGATCGTCAACTTGATTATTTTCTTCCTACTGCCATTATAACAGCAGCTGTACAGCACTATCAATATTGTTCTGAGTTTACACTAGCGCTTACTATATCTTCTCATTGCTAAACATGAAACCCATAGATATCAACTAGGCTACCTTCTATGGATCAGCTTAGTTCTAGCCGCGACCTCCTCTACGGTTTTACTGATCTCTTTCGGCTCTATTGCTTTCCTTAAGCAATGCACAGTGTGAGAAGGATCTTGAAGCATTCTATAGTATATTAACGACTATCTCCTATAGCACGCTATTTCTAGGATGCTAGAGCTTTAAGACTAAGTTCTCCTGAGGGGAAGAATCTAATTGAAGAAGTTTAGCGCAAACTGTATGATAGAAAGTTTAGTATAGATTCTTGGCATTGTCAAACACTGAACCCATGTTAGTAGTTAAAATAGAGTTCATGCTGTTATCATTGGTTCTAGAGCTTATCAATTTTTCTAAGATACTCTTCATCTAAAGACAAAGTTCATCGAATAAGAAGATGTGAACCTTTAAGAAATTATTGTCGATTTTGTGATTAACTTGGCTTAGCCATTAAAAGCATTCAATCAAATTGTTAACACCACCCTTTTTAAAGAACATGTAGAAAGCAGCTCCATCAGTCAGTCCATGATCAATGTTTGAAGATATTTCGGCTAGATAGTAACATACATCATGCAGGTCTCTTGCAAATTCAAAAGTAGGCTCTACACTGATTTTACTCAATACTTTTGCATTTACTTGCTAAGTGTTCAGGTAAACTAACTTCCCAATAAACAGTAAGCACTGCTCAAGAGCTTCTTTTTGCGTGTTTTATCTTTGGACAAAGGCTTAAGAGCAGAATTTATTCAAAAAGTCATCCAAAACCTTTACGTTAACTTTGAAAAAGCTATTTGCAAAGACTTTACTATTAATAAAGCTGGAAAAGTATGTTCTCATTTAATTGATATTGGGTAATTTACCTGCTTAGGTTTCCTCTTTGAATTGAGTTAACAGTTCATTTTTATATTTCTCTTCTTCCTCTGATAGATCAACACCCTATTAAAAATCCTGCATTTAATCCATAAAAGTAGCTGTTCTATTCTTCAAAGAGATTCTCTTTAGATAGAAAGCCATCTTTGCGAACTTGGTGATTTCTTTGTTTTAAATGATAAGGTGAAATGTTGATGTGTGTAAGAAATGAGTGGTCTTGACCAGATGCTAGAATTTATTCAGTTAGAACAACTACTTTTCTCCAAGAGTCAAGAAGTCATCTATCTAATCTAATTCAAATTCATTAAGGTCTTTGAGTTAAGCTGATTGATCTACAACGCTGAAATCAAATTTGTTCAAGTGATATATCTTTCCATTGAAGAGAGATTTCAATCTTACTAAATTGTCTGTAATTATATTCTAGAACGATCTCACATTTAATGGATGTATCTAGACTTCAACTAGGGTCTTAATGGTTTTTTCAAAATGAGATTGCATTTCGCTCAATAAAGGTATCTGTATTATCCTCAAATAAGTCTGGATGATCTAATAAGTCACTTGCTCATTCATGATATCCTAAGAGTGTCTATTCTAAGCCATATTTTCATTTGAAAGATAAGATAAATTGTAAATCATAGTAAGTGCTGATAATATCTTTGTGTCAATCTTTGAGTTTTTTTTGGCTTCTTCATATTTCTATAAATCAGTTAGTGCCTAATTTCTAAATATCTGAATAAATATCTTAGCCTTTTCATTTGCAAATTGATTGATTATTTATAGGTAGTGATTCACATTATCTCTTGCAATATCTTTCAAAGCAGGAGTTCTGTCAAATAGATTAGCAAGATACAGTCTAAGGACCTATTGGTCAAACGGCATACCCAATTTGTCATTAACTGCATGTTTAAGTGTCAAATCAAAGATTGGACTTTCACTAATCAGCTTTTAGCCTTCTTCATGGATTGATATCTAATTGATTCCATAAATTATCGCGTCTATAATATCTGCACTGTAGGGGATTCTTTACTCAAGAGACTTAATAAGGTCAGGAATAATGCCATTTCTTATCATAGCTGGAATTTAAGCTGGGATACCGCTTGATATGGCTCCAATTAAATAGATGACTATCAATTATCATAAAGAGTTAATGAATAATTACATCTTGAAAAGAAATCATCAATCAGATGACCTTATTGATCATTATTGAATCCTACTACTTTCTAAAGAGATTAAAGAATCTTTGTTTCACTGACTCTTCTTCCAATTTCAAGATTTTGATCTATTAGACATATATTAACATATAGTGAAGCTTACAATCTCTTGAAGTTAAATCTGAAAGTGTTAATAAAAGGGATTTGATAATCAACTGCCTCTCTTTCTACTCAATTTCTTAGGTCTTTTCATCTTATTTTAGCATATAAAATGTTGAATTAAGATTGTCTAGCTCGAAAATCAGTCTAGTTGTGATTTTGCTCACAATTTCATGCTATTCATCCATTCTTGGTCTAAGAATCATCTTTAGTATTTATGCTATTTATTGTTGGACGAGAAGGTTATAAGTGTAGATCATTCTTTCATCAGGGGTAGTTGAGATTATTTGAAGCAAATTCTTAGCCAGCATATTGGTCAAATCTTAGTAAAACTAAACTGGTCTATTGTGATGGGCATACATAGTTTTTAGTATACAATTGGCAAGATATACTGAGTAGTATTAAATGATATCTTAAGCCATTATTAATGAATTTATGGTCTTAGTTTTTGCTACCTTTACAGGGAGACCTTCACTACTCTCTTAGATTTAAATACTAGCAAGATCCTCCATTAATTTAGCTAAGAAAGACTTAGGATTTTCATCATCCATTTAGTCTGGTCCAGGTGGCATTGGTTTAACAAAGGGATCAGTTTGAAAATTAGGTCCTTGAGATTTTAAAAATATGTGTATGATAGTAGTCAAAGTTTTCAATACTAGCATCTAATATAGGGTTAGTAAATGACTCAAATTTACCTCATCACAGCTGTTAGTTATAAGGTGAATTGCTTCATTAGCAAATTTATCAGAAAGATACTGATTGATTGAGTTTTAATTTCTTAATTCTGCTATTTAGTGCTACTAGCCTATAGTTATAAGAATCAAATGTCTATTTGGACTTACTATAATTGAGTGCATCAAGCATTATTTTAACTGCTTCATTAGGGTTTTTCTCTTGATAAAGATATTTTAGCCATTAAATTTTGGTTTCAAGCTTGTGAATGAAGCTTTCCTTGTCTTGCTGATACTTAATGGCAAGGGATTTAGCGATTTCTTTTATGGGTTTGTTGGATTCAAGCAAATCCTGGATCTTGATTACAACAATGTTGCTAGAAGACCTTTCATTCAAGCCTTGAGAAACTTATTCGATTTCAAATACTAGATCATGCGTCTCAGTTTAACTGTTTGCTAATTATTGAGAGGCTATATCATAGAGAGTTTAATGATTTTCTGAGGATCTAAGCAAATTAGGTGCTTAAGCAAGATTCATTGATCTCTCCTGGATATCTATAGACAAATAGTATTGATATATCTTTTAGGATAGTTTTAATGTTACCTGGTTATCTTTTGTTGCCCAAAAAGACTGACAACTTAATAGCTAAAATTTGCACCTTTACACTTTCGTGAGTTAGAGCCAGATTATTTGCCAACTAATTCAATGTTATAAAAAATCAGCCAGAAAACAAAGAATTGGATTTATTGAAAGCTTGTTGCATTAGGAGGATACTTACATTTGTGTTATCAGGTTTGTCAGTGATAAAATTGCTTGCTAAAAATGTTCCCAGAAAACTTAATATCAAAATAATCTCATCAGTATTGCCAGATTCAATTGATTTTTCAAGCATTTCGACAGCATTATTGAAGATGTCCTTAGCGTGGGCGATTGTAATGCGATACAATGAGGTAAAGTGCTATTTAACCAAGTTTTACATCAATTCTTTGAGTTTCTACTCATTTGCTTCAATTTTTTCTGATCTTTCAATCTCATCTTAAGGTATGGATTTAATTTCAGCGAATATTTCTCTTATCTGGAACAGAGACTGAATAATCTCCTAATTCTAAGGCTAAAATATTTTTAAGATTTATAAAGGGGTACTTTAAGGTCATTTTTCAGATCATTTTCGTTGAAATTTGTCAAAGAGAATTTCATGATTTTAATACTTTAATTATTATACCTAAATTGAACTATACTCCGCAAATATTGATAAATTGCTAGAAGAATTTGATTAATTTGTTAACTAAATAATCTACTTATTTGTATCTCATTTAGATATAGGGGTTTTGGGGTTTTGGGGTTTTGGGG